AAATATTTTCACCCTTATATTTATCAGGTAAACCATTATCAACTTTTGATTTTCAAATGACAACCTATACTTAAAATGTCATAAACTAAAAAGACTATTTTTTCAATGAATTTTCACGTTTAAATTTTCAATTTTCGTTAATCCGTTTACAAGATATAGCCTCCCAAAGTTGGGTGGTTTTGGGTGTTATAGGTGTATGTTAGGTGGTATTTACAAACGAATACCATATAAGTGTTGTTTGATAAATGAATCACCCTGTATAGAAGTACCAGCTCAAGTGTAATGCATATTATTAGAAGAAGAAAAAAACACTTGCACTAAGTCACTTCGTATTGGAAATAAATGCTTTTTACTAATATATRGAATACATACGTACCCACTATTAATCATCTAATTTAAATTATTTCAAAACCCGTAAGGTATAATAGGTATATAGTGATAATATYGCGGTATACTGTTTTCTAACATATAATTTTCAAACTTTTTTCGTACGCCCCGCTCTGTTGGTAAACAATAATGATAGYGATCGAYGTATATRATACTCTACAACTCCAATTTTTATTTTTATTTTTTATTAAAAATTAGACGCGCAGTTGTTCTAACACAGTAGTAATAATAACAACAATATTATTCTGTGTTCGAAGTCTGGGMAATTGGATTATCATCATTAATAATGGTATATACCGCCATAGGTACCAATATAATAAAGCTATGTCGTAGTCGTATTTTTTGAACAAGTCGTCGTGTGTAACACATTATATTATATGTTCGGCAAACGAAAATGGTWAGCCGTACGATGCATTTGGCGTTTTGACATAAAATAAAATATATGTGATTTACGGAACATATTTCATACAGGTATAGTATTTGTGCGTGTGTACGCCTGAATCGTTTTAACTTTYTGACATTTAATTTTTGCCGAAATTTTAAATGACGYAATCGTGAAAAAATKCGTTTTTCGACGTCAACTAATAATAAAWAAGCGGGGAAACATTTTTWTGGTCATCGAGGGGGTCTTGATTGGTAAAASAACGACCTGTTCTATACATYTTATCTTTAAGTAGGTGAAAATATAATTGGGAAAAAGTTAGGTTAATAATCCATAAATAGGTGTTTTATTATGCGATTGACACAACAATATTGGTTTGGTGCGCCTAATGTGATGATAACGTTGAATACGTTATAATTTATGAAAAATCGTATCGATYTATTTGTACCTTATATTATATCGCAATTATGTATAAAAGAARAATTGTAAAAAAAAAAA